AATACATAGGCACAATTTCTTTTTTATTAGTATTTGAAGTTCAAATTTTGACTTAATACGTAAAAATTACGGCAATGTTCMAATTATCTTAGATAGAAATTCATAAAAATTTTTCTTTTTAGATCTAAGATTTGAAAATTTAATACAAGGCTCATAACATATTTTTACAATAGCAGTTGAAAAATAAAAGGAATATACATGAATACATTTTTTTTAAAAGCATTCAAAGTCTGTATTTTGACAAAATACATAAAACTATCATGAATAATATTTCTAAATTACCACAATATAACTAGATATGTAATTCTTGGTTATTTAATATTATGTAATTTCATCTACATTTAAACTTAAAAGAACTAGATATTTAGATTTTTTTTTTGCCACGGAATTAACAACTTACGTGGAACCTTGTTTCAAATTTTCAATCCTATTAGCTATAAAAGTTAAACGTCTAATAAATTTTTAACAATAAAATAATTTGTAAATTTTCCATTAAAAAAAATGTTGCCAAAATTTGAAGTTTTAAACTTTTAATAGTTACAAAACTAAACGTACCTTTACGTATTTTTAATATTTTCCAACTGCTATTATATAAACTTATGGTTAAGGAGAACATTGTATTAAATTTCAAGATTTTGGGCCAATAATTAAAAACTGTTTGACATTTTATTAAGTATAGGAATTGATAAAATAAACATATTATGGTATACCTAAATTTCAATTATCTACAGTTATTCGTTTTTGAATAACAACGAAATAAGAATATCGGCACAAAAGAAATTGAGTGAATATCCAATGTTGTAATTCAAATAATCGTAAAAATTTAATTTGACTTTCTGGTAGACAATTTTTATTTGTTAAAAGTAGACAATCTCATGAAGAATTTTGTTTTGAATTTTCAAATCTTAGATTTAAAAATAGAAATTTTTATTATTTTCTAACTTAAAGTAAATTACAAATTTTCGTGATTTTTATGTATTTTGTCAAAATTTGAACTTTCAATGATTATTATGAAAAAATGATGACTGTGTATTGATATCATTGTAATAATATATAAGGAGCCTTTTATTAAATTTTGAAGCATTTTTAACTAACGAATACAATTTTATTAACATTAAAAGACGAAAAAACATCGATTTTCTAAAAAGAAATTGATTTTGCGTAAAAAATCACGTTTTTCATGACTTTTTTTTGTTTTTCCAGGTGCTTTTGAAAGCTACTGGGAATTTCAAAATTTGACCTCTCGAACGCACCAACTAAATTAACTTTACAACCAGTAAAGCTACTGAAGTTGAAAATCGAAGCACTATTTTGACAACTTACCGTGCGTGTACATATAGACACAAAAAACACACATACACACAACATCGTAAAATCAATACATTCATTGCTCCGCTCAGAATCTATAACAAAAATAGGTCACAATCTATTCACAAAAATAGCAAAGCTTAAAAAGAAAATAACTGACTAACATAAACAAATAAATATAGAAATCAAAATACGATATTTTACGACAAATAAATCAACCCGTAGGTATACTAATATTTATTATTTATTCAATTGGAACAGAATTTGGATTAATAAATAACCAATTGCTTTGTTCGTTAAAATAAGTAGTTGCCTCAGATTAATATGACATATTCCGTAAAGTTTAAATTTGTAGTGTTCATGCAATCTTCGCAGTAAGAAAAACTTGATCTATGTAAAAATATATAAATAATTCCATTTTAATTATTAATATAATTAGGTAGGTAATCATATGCAACACTACTTAATAATTATTTGATACCTGGCGTTTAATTCTCTGATTTGTTTCTGTTAAGGATCGTTGATATAAGACAAGACTCATTCGATTTATCTGAGAACCAAAATAAAGTTTTAAATTTAAGTCGAACATAAGTATAATAAATCATCACAAGATAATATTAAATAGACGTTTACTTATTTTTACTCACAATGTTAATAGATATAAATTATTGATTAGTTAGACACAAAATTCACAATAGAAATTGAGTGAATATCCAATGTCGTAATTCAAATAATCACAAAAATTTAAAATTTAATTAGAATTTCCGGTAAACATTTTTTGTTTGATAACAGTTGACAAGGTTGTGAAGTATCTTGCATTGAATTTTCAAATTTTAGATTTCAAAAGATAATTTTTATGAATTTCTAACTCAAGATAATTTTGCATGTGCTCGTTATTTTTAGGTATTTTAACAAAATTCGAACTTAAAATGATAATAAAAAAAAATTATGACTTATAGAAAAAAAATTTCAAATTTCATATGTCTATAAATAACATTAAATGTTTGGAATATTTWAAAAAATGTATCAAGTATAGAAAAGGGCGGTGGTAAACTCTCCCGATTGTATGGTAAAGTCTCCCGATTTTTAAAACTAGTAAACTCTCCTGATGGTAAACTCTCCCAGGTAAATATTATGTTTACCTGAAAGAAATGTGTAAACTCTCCCGGGTCAATATTATGTTTACCTGAAAGAAATGAGCAAACTCTCCCAAGTTATTTTAAATGTTATTGCTACTCTATGAATTGGCTACACTGCATGCAGAGATTGTGATTATAATTTTTATTATGAATTGTATTACCGTATTTAATTTGTATTTATCTTGTTTTAACCTGTATTCGTCATTTAAATATTTAATTACCATTAGAGTATTTTTAATTTAAATATTTAAAACGATATCGACTATAATGGCTCAACCAATTCTAACTGTGTAAAACGCCATGCTCCCCAGCTAGCTTAATAGTACTGAACTAGACCCGGGAGAGTTAACATGTTCCCGTCAGGTAGTATTGGACTAAACCCGTGAGAGTTTACCATCGGGAGAGTTTACATGCCATTAAAATCGGGAGAGTTTACAATCGCCCATAGAAAATACCAATACAAATATTCAGTGAACATTTCAGGTATCTACGGTATTTTGTTTTAGAGACACTCCAACATTCAAATTAGATTTTTTCAAAACCGATTTTGCGTAAAAATTCCCCTTTTTCATTAATTATTTTTTTTTTGTGTTTCTTTGAAAATTATCGTGATTTTACCAGGCTAATGCAACAACTAGATTCACTTTTCTACCAGAAAAGCTAATGAAGTTGAAAATTAATGTAGATTTCGGCTACTTACCATGTACCTATACGTACTATACACAGACCAAAAAAACACATACACACTTCATTGTAAAATCAATTAATTCATCGCTTTGCTAAAAATCTAAAAATACAATCGGTACGGATATGAAAAAGATTGTAGACTAGTTGCTATCGTGCTAGTACTTTTGTACTTCTAACTAAGAATAAAAAGCTGATTAAATTTATAATAAATTCAAATGATATATAGGTAGGTAGGTAATATAAAATAAAAACCTCTTTTTCCGTTGAGTGCCCAATTATGTATAATGTAAGAATATTGATTGTTTTTATTAAAATCCGTATAAAAGCAAATGCCGGTTGAGGACCTTGCTCATAGTCTCTAGCAAATAATATATTTCTGTATACCGCATTGATGATTTCAGCGACATTTGATGCTATACAAGCAATTATAACAGGAAAACCAAATATTGATGTGTTTAATTCATTTAAGCATTCCATAACTTCCAAATACATGTCTCTGAATGTGCTTAAACATGTTCTTCTTTCCGATATTTGTTCATTTATCATGTAGGCAATCCACTTTATGTATAATATTAGAAATATGTATTCATAAAATATGACGCATTTGCAAGTGTTCACAACATATAAATTGACCTAAACATTTAACATATGTGACATTTTTAATATACATAATAGTTTCAATAGATTATGGATGATAATAGGAGTACCTTAATATTTATAAAATATAACGCATTTGAAAGTATTTAAAACGATTAAATAAGTGATCAAAAAATACGTGGATAGGGAAACCTGGATATGAGAGGACTATAGTGGCAAGTGGCGTATCCTGGTGGACGGGTGTTGTAACCCCTCCCCTCGAAAATGATTCAATATTTAATGTATGATTATTGACTATAATAAAAACACAAATAATTCAAAACAACTTGATGTTATATTTTTTTCTAACCCCTCCACCATCGAAAAAATTAAATAAATGCCACTGCTAATAGCACAGATTATATTATAAATCAAGCACTGAATCAATTCTTTTCTGTCCCTCGTAGAGTAAATTTATCAAAAAATTGATTTGTATTTTACAGTATTTTAAAAAACACCTTTAATATAGGTACTTATGAATAATAAATATAAATATGTTACAATAATATTTGCTTAAGTATTATTGATATATCTATTTTATAAATTTTTGTTTTTCAACATTATTTTTTCATTATGAAATCCTGCGCACAGGCCTGTTAATAAAAGTATATTATTAATAACAAATATACATTTTTCATAATATAATTGTAGATACTTAATTCTCCTCTATACATTTGTATGGCTACTATTTTAGTATTTTATTAGGTTTTAATTTTGCGAGTTTGAAAGAGTTTTTTCTTACATTAATAATAATATTGTAACATATTTCAGCATAACCTACTAGGTTTGATAATATAACCGGTAAGCTATTTAATATTTATAATAACCTATATAGGTACCTTTTTTTATTAGAAAAGCGAATTTTTAGATTTAATCTGTATACAAAAAAATAGAATAAGTAGTAAGTATAAAACAATGACAAGGCTTGACGACATGATGATTGAAGGGAGCGTCCAATAACACTACTTTAGAATGAATTTGTTTTTTTAAATTAATTATTGTTATTGTTATTTCTCTTGTCTTTTTTTTATTTAAAGCATAATTTTTGGCCTTACGTTCAGTAACTTTGTTAAAAAAATTTAATTAGATATAATTATTCGAAACAATTTAAAAAGTATTCATAAAACAATGCATATATGAATATGCATGTTTTTTATGCATAATTTTTTATGACCTATCAAACAAAACTATACAAATTAAATTAAATATAGAAGATACCTTTAATTTGGTGATGTAGACCAGTGGTTTTCAACCTTTTTAACAACATAGCACACTTTTTCTCCTACAAAATTTTCGCGGCACACCAATTCATAAAATACGTGAAGCATATATTTATATTATACTTAGACGCGACGTATAGCGATCGGGATGGCTGCGACGGGCAAACTAATGTTTGACTTGTGATTAATTATTATATATTTATTTACTTTCGATGTAAATAAAACACTATTGCTGTTACAAGAATGATTTAATTGAAAATATTCTAAGTCCAAATGATTAATTTGGAATGGTGTCTGGCGTGAAGGTGCTTGCATGCAACTGAGTCTGGTGGCTCACGTCTGATTTTTGTCTATTCGGGGCTCTCCTATATAGTCTTACTCTCTGCGTTTCCTCTCCTATCGATTAGATAATGCATGTGCCCATGGTGGAACCGCACAAATGCGTACGCGCGTATCATTAGGATATCACAGCTTCCCACGCTCGTGCGGCCATTCGGTTCACATTATTGAAACTTATAACAAGGAAAAATCGATATGGTCGAGACCATTTGTAAACGCAACTATTTCATTGACGGTGTGTAACAGACTGACTTTATTATATAAGGGGAGAAACACCAGTACAGGCTTGACAAAATTAATATTGTTAATAGTAATAATAGTAATAACGATAAAGAGGCAGATATAAGCGGAGTAGAATATTGATTACTCAACACACATCCTGTTATTCGCGACACACTGCGTAGTGCGTAAACTACAAAATACAAGTCCAGAGTATTGGTAATATTATATTCATGGATAGGACATACTATGCATTCAAGTGTGATCGAAGAGCAAACAAATTACCAAAGTAGTTAATTATAATTATGGTTTCTTATCGATCATAATTGATAACGAAAACGCAATTTTAGGCGCTGATCAAAGGGAAAAATTCGGAAAGTGATATTATTATTTGCATTAAATTGCTAATAGGTTTATAACATGTCCGATCGTTTTCATTTTATTGTTATTTAATAGAATTACTAAAAATGTATGTTAATTCAATAAAATGTATATTTACGAGTGAAAAGACATTATTCGTTTGTCATTATTTTTGGAAATGGTATCACAATATAAACATTTACCTATACACTATTTTAAATAAATAATWATAATATCATGTGATTAATATCAATAAATAAATAATATTAAAATTAATTATCGTATTTTATTCAAAAATAGGCACCAATCAGATTGATTAAAATTGTATTTATCATAAACAAACTGTAACCATATATAACCAATATAGTAACGAGTAGACTCTTATAGATGTCTTATCTATGGTCTAGGGGTGCCATTCGGTGTGTGTGTGGGGGG